GCTGCCCGCACTCCCCAGGCTGCATGGGGACCATAGGCACAGCCAGACCCCTCCCAAGCAGTGCTGCCCACTGCCCCCACACCCTCCTCAGCCTCACCCGGCCCAGAAGAGGTGATGGCAGGGGCCCGTTGGTTGCGGTTCTCTTGGTCTGATCAGAAACAACAGGTGAGTGGCTGGGGGTGGCTTTGGCAATGGGCCCCTCTGAGCCCTTCCTGGGGCCAGGGATCCTGGGGGAAGCAGAGTGCACATATCAGCCAGGAAGGTTGGAGAACACAAACCCCGTGGCATCCGTGCCCTTGTGCCAAACACCCCGACTGATGCTGCCAGCCTCAAAATGCACAGGAGCTGCTGAAGGGCAGGGGGCACAGGTTACCTCACCTCAGGTAAAACAGCACATAGGCCTGCTGATTGAGGACCACTTTGATGTTGCTGCAGTGCACAAGGGAGTCATTCATCTGGTACCACTGCCCGTTGCTGGCCTAGGAGCAGAGCTTGGGGTCAGGCCCTGCCCAGAGCAGCACCAGCACCCCCTGCAACATGACATCGTGCTCCAAACTCTTTGACATGCACCCATTGAGCAGCCTTCCCACACACCGCAGGACCCCACAGGTGCCACCAGGGCTCACCTTCACATAGCAGTAGTAGTGTCCTGCATGGCAGCTGTACCCCGAGTGCACCAGCACTGCATAGAGCCCATACATGACTGGATCGCCGTTGTTCTGAGACATGTAGGGGCGGATGTTCAGGAACTCAGGGTATCCCACGTCCTGTGCAGAAAGGATGTCTCAGGGGTCTTTCTTGCTAGAGCAAGAGCAGCTCCAACCATCCTATGATCCCTCTCCATAGAGAGCACCCAGCTCTCCCCTGGCAGAGGCTGCAGTGAGGAAGGTGCTGGGAGGAAGCAAACCCTGCAGCACAGCCCTGGGAACACTACTGAGCTGTAGCAGATCTTGTGCTGCAACGGGACCCAGTGAGCCAGGGCACAGCCTCAGCCTGCACTGCCCAACTCTCACCTTTGTGATTTTGCCTCCGCTGAAGTTTGCAAAACGCTTCAGTGAGAGCGTGAGGACATTGGAGGCTCGGTGGATGGTGAAGCGTTTGCTGGCTGGCACCTTCTTCTTGCACCTGCATAGAAGAGCTCCAGCTATCCAAGCTGCTCCACACCCAGGTGATTGCCCTCAGCTGAGACACACCTCATGGAATCGATTGCACTGACAGCAGGCATCTGCTCATGGTCACATCTGCTGCTGCCCAAGCCCTTCCCCTGCCAGCCAGGCAGCTGGAGTAGGGTTGGCTCTATCATGGCCACATGTCCCACAGCTCAGCTGGGGCTGCCTCTGTACCTCACTTGTTTTCCACTACCCCACACCACGGGACCCCACTCACCTGGCACACATGTAGGCATTCTCCCCACTCAGCACATCTGATTTCACAAACAGCTCCAGTGCCCGCACGATGTTTGCAGCTTGCTGCAAGGACAGGGCAGAGCTCAGGGCATGCGTGACCTGTCCACGCTACCCCACAGCACGATGTCCACTGACATACCCTGATCTCCAAGGACACATCCAGGTAGGGGTCGTAGGTGTCCGAGACGCTCTTACACACTGAGCACTTCACTGCAAAAGAAAGAGCAGTGAGTGCACCCTGCCACATCTGCACCTGGCCCTCAGCAGCTGCAGCACTGCCCCTTCTCTGGGTCTGGGCTGTGGGATGCCAACACCAGCATTTCTGCTGGGAGCCTGCAGCTTGGCAGGGAGGAAGGCTGCTGGCATAGCAATTGTTGCTTAACAGCTGCAAGCACTGGTTCCTTCACTGAGTGACGAAGAGCCAAGGACCTGCAGCCAACAGCTTTCTGTGTTGCCACAACGGGAGCCAAGACCCACAGGCATGGCAGGAGTGGGAAAATGCAGCTTTGGGTGATTTACACATGCTTGGCAACTGTTCCAAAAGATTTTTAGCACAGGGCTCTTGGGGTAACAGCAGCCCACACTCCTGAGGTCACAGCCCAGCAGCAGCACTCACCACGGGACCGCAGGTAGCCACCAAAGATCTGGTGAACCAGCGTGGTGGCCTGGGTCTGGCGATCCAGCCTGGAAGAGAAACACCACGTCATACTGCTTCTCTGCATCACGATGCAAGAGCCACCCCTGAGGGCCACTTCTGTGTCCTCCACACCACAGCCCTGCTCAGCAGACCATGGGGAGGATAGGGAAGATGCAACGATTCTGCTGCTCTGTGGCTGCTGGTGTCTGAGCTCGGTGGGGAACCAGGCTGTATGCACCCAATGCTCTCCAAGCACGGCTGCTCCCAGCTGCAGCTCGGAGCCTTGCACTGAAGGCGGAGGCAATGCTGGTACCCTGGGTCTCAGCCCCATAGCAGCACTGTGGTCACACGCCAGGGCAGTATCATGGAGCAGAGATGGCCTCAGTGCCCCAGTACTCAGAGCTGTGTGTACCTGGTGCAGCCACTCAGGCAGGCCTTCTGCATGGCATCGATGGTGTAACGCAGGAACTCGTGAGCATCCTCCTGGCTGCCAAAGCGGAAATGCCGGGCAATCTCTGCAGGGAAAAGAGAGATCAAATCCTGTGTACAGAACCTCTATCCCCCCCCCAGAGCCAAGCTGTGGGGCAGCCCCATGTGGTCCTGTGGTAGCTCAGCCTCCATGAATCAGCTCTGAGCCACTCGCTGCCAGGACCTGTCCCAGCCTCATGAGTCACAGCGGGGGAGCACAGCGTGGAAGGACCCATCCTTACTCTTGAGGTCTCGGATGAAGGACACCGGCTTGATGGCGTTGCCGCTGTTGGCAAAAGCCTGGATCATGTGGTTCTGCATAACGCACATCATGCAGAAGCCTCCCTGGTGACCTGCAGAAGGAGAGAAGAAAGGACGCTGGGGGCAAATGCAGTAGAGATGGAGATAGCGTGTGGGAAGGGGAATCCCTGCTCCCACACAGCACAGCCCTCCCCATGAGCTCCACGCTATAACACAGTGCAGCCCAGGGGACAAGGACAGGCATGTGACACACCAGCTGGCAGTGCCTAGGTCACAGATAACACTGCAGATGAGAACACCCATCTGTAAGGGTGGCACACGGGGCAGCGACACCTCCCAGACAAGCCAGCAGGTCTGTATATAGGGCAGGGCTGTCTGAGCCCTATGAATGGGGCACCGCTCTCCTGGTCACAGGCTGTGAGCCGTGCCACCTCAGGCAGCCGGGTTCTGCCCCACACACAGCAGCCATTCATTGGGGGCCAACCCAGCCCAGAGCAGCCCACCCACACCCACACCCACCCAGCCCTCCAGCACTGTCCCCCACCCCACTCACAGGCGCGGCTGTGCTCCTTGGACAGCAGGTAGCAGGCGAGCGGCGGCGTGTAGGTGAGGCACTGCAGCGTGGCGTTGAGGAAGCAGGTATTGCCCAGGTTGTGCAGCCCGGCGCCCACCCGCTGCACGCGCTCCCACTTCAAGGAGAGCCGTTCGGCAGGGAACAGCACCTTCTGCGGCGCGGGGACGCCATCCCCGGGACCGTGATCGCCGCCTGAGGGATGGGGGATGATGAGCGGCGGGCGGAGGGCTTCACCGGGACCCCCATCCCCCACAGCCCGGCACGCACTGTGTTTCCTGCTGGGCCCCTCCGAGGGCGGCGGGCGGGGCGCGGCGGGCCCGGCGCTGGCGTTCAACGGTCGGTACTTGCCCCGCAGCAGCTCCAGCTGCCCGGACAGCCCGCGGCTGGCAGGTTCGAACTCGATCCTCTGCAGCAGGACCTTCTTGGCCGAGGCGGCCAGAAGCCGGCCCAGCTCCCCGTCCTCGCTCGGCTCCCTGCGGCCCGGCTTCAGCGCCTCCCGCAGCTTCTCCACGATCGGCATCGCGGGGCCGGGCTGGGGGCGGGGGGTGAGCGGGGAGCGCCGCGAGGAGCGGCCCGATCCGGCCCCCCAGGCCCGGTCCCCCCCAGCCCAGTCCCCGTCCGCCGCCCACCCCGCTCGCTGCCACCCGCGACCTTGAGCCCCTCCGCCGCCCGCCACGTGCTGCCCCGCCCGGTACCGGCGCTCCGCAGCGACCCCACGCCGAGGAGAGGTGCGGCACGGAGCTCAATGGCTCCGAACCCCCCCGCCCCGCTCAGCCGCCCGCCGCACTTCCGGCCCCGGTTCCGGTCCCGTCCCCCCAGCCCGGCCCGGCCCGGCCCGGCGCTGCCGCACGCACCATCCGGGTCCCCGCCGCGCGCACGTGTCACCGCCTTCAATGGGCGGCACCCGCGCGCCGCTGCCGCCACGAACCACTTCCGCACCACCCCCTTTTGGGGGGCGGGGCAAACACTGACCACGCCCCCAATGTTCTGGCCCCGCCTCCCGGTGGGCGTGGCTGCAGAGAGGAGGCGGAGCCGCGGGGTCCGTCAGTGCCTTTATTGTCCGCAGCTCCCCGCAAACACATCGCGATGGAACGACAACCCCCCCCCAGCCCCCCCAGCCCGAGCTTTAAATTACGGCAGCACGTTAGATACATCTTACTTTAATACTTATCAAGCAGAGATCTGAAAATAACTATACGTAAACTTTTTGTC